ACTTCTTCCCTTCCATAGAAACATGCAAGTCCGTAATATGTCTACTTAAAAAAGGCTAATAAAATCATAGATCAAAGTATTAACGACATCTGGACAAGCTAATGACCATGGATTCCAAGTATATAAGCAATAACTACGAATCCAATAAACAAGCAATGATGACATCATGGCAAGCTAATACGAATAGGAGAAAAAAAAAAAAGAAACAGATCATCAAAAGTTACTAAACAATCAAAACATTAATAGAAGTTATACGAATCATCAAGTATTTCACCTTGATAATTGGCATTTGGGCACCAAAAGTGAGAACAACCCCCATCTGGAGCAAAACTCGGAAAGTATCTCTAATATTAGTCCCATTGAATTCCTTGAAGCTCTCCGCGCAATCCCCGCCTTGAAGTAGAAACGCCTTCCCGACAGCAGCCTCCGCGAGCCTCTCCTCCAGCTTTCGCGCCTCTCCGGCGAAAACAATCGGCGGGAACGAAGCGATTGTGCTGAGAACCGACTCCAGCCCAACCAAGTCTGGGTAATCCGGGAGCTGTTGAGCGCGCTTGGACTTCCAGGAATCCAAGGCCCAGTGGCAGGGTTGATTATTGATTTCATGTAGGGGTGGAATGGAGGAGGAGGCAACAGGCGCGACAGTGTTAAGATGGAATCGCCTGGTGGATGAAGGAGAAACGTGGAATAATGAGGTTAGAGGAGGGAGGTAAAGCGGAGGTTTTGGAATGGTGAGGGTAGTACTGCTTGTGATTGAATTAGCCATTGCAGGCTTGCAGCTGTTAAAAAGTGCCGAGGGAGGGAGGGAGGGAGACAGAGCAGGGGAAGAACGATAATTAGATAGGGATGGGGTTGTTCTTTTTCTATTTTTTATTTTTTAAAAAAAAAAACTTTGTTCGGTGAAATTATGAATTTAGTTTTAGTTTGCAACCAACGTTAATATGCATATGAATTGTACCAATGCCCCTTAAATCTAAATAACTAATATGATTCATCACTCTTAGGTGAACATGCTAGTAAAGATATCAATCTTTAAGTGTAACATGATAAAATGCTTATAACCAACAATCCACTCAAAATTAAGCATTACTAACTATTTACATTCTTCAGATATAATAGAAACTATATTATTATCATTTACTTTTTTTATTAATTTTTATTATCTTTATGTTCTATTTTAAATAACTTATAATTTCTATTAGTAATTGCATTCTGAATGTTCTTTTTTAACGAAATCTTTTTTTCTTGAATTTAAAAATAATTTTTTTATAATTCTACTCTTGTTTTTACCAATTTTCTCAGTGAAAAGAGCTTATGAAGAGTCTAGTATCCTTGCATCTCATCTCTTCATTTTGCATATTGTCTTTTACTATGTGTAAAGTAACAACTCTATTCCTAATATTTCATAAGTTATCTAATAAAAATAAGAAATGCAATTAATCATCAAGTTCTATCATGATAGTGCCTAACTAATCCATCAAATCTCAATTCATTCATATTTTCTATTACAGATCATTATTCTTTAAATTTTAAAGTAATTAATCTCTTTATTGTAAAGGCTTTATTCTCAGTATTTTTTTTAACTTTTTTCATGATATATAAGTGTCCACTTTATTACTTATGTGATGATAAATATTGTACTCAACTCATTGCTTCATATTTCTTACTGTCTTTTTTTTTTTTTTTTAGGTTTTTCAATCATCATTAAATATTCCATTGTATTTATTTTACCTAATTTAATATGATAAAAAAAATTTTATAATACAAATAATCCTCCATCATCAATTTTTAGATTGAAAAATTTACACCTAATAATTTAGTAATTGATCTTGTCGAATTATTTATTTTAATTTATAAAATTAATTTCATCTTTTACTCAACCAAACTCTAATATAATTTGTTATGTTTTAAATAATATTAGTTGTATAAATTTAATTTACTTAATCACAAAAAAAATCAATCACACTATACAAAATAAATAAGTATAAAACAAAATATAAGAACACAACATTTTATGTGAAATCCTTTTCAGTTTGAAAGAAAAAAATCAAGAGTCAAATTGCGAATTGAATTCACTATTAAGAATTAATGAGTACAATAATATAAAATTAATCAAACAAATTTAGATTCTACAATTAAAACATATCCAAATTATCTTTCTACTCAACAACGCACAAACCTCTCTATTTATAGATAAATGCTAGATAAATAATTCTTTTAATATTTTTAAATGATAAATAACTAATAATTCTTGATAATGCCTAAAGATCTAATCAAAGAATAAAAGAATATTAATATTTTTCTTTGATTTTTACGCACCCAAATGGAATATTTTACTCTTCATTTTTTCACCAAATTTTTAAAAAGAACTAATATATATACACAAAGGCATATACATTTTTTTTTTTTTTGTAAAATGGGGTAGACCCACTTCACACCATAGGCATGGCACTATGGTAACAATTACAGTGCTTGGTGATACGGCCGAAGAAGGATTTATAAATGTACATAACTAGCGACTCTTTATTCCGTACCATACTACCTGACTGTTCATAAGAATTAAAAGATTCAACAAGGCTCAAATAGCTAAGGGGTTATTCAATTCTCTATCATTCAAGTTATAAAGAAATAAAACCTTCAATTTATACTACTAAAAAGGAGAAGAACTAATTAATTAAGACTTTATGAATTGAAGAAATTTGATTAAGCTGAAGGAGTAGAGTACTTAAAGAACCTTCACCAATTTATGGTCCTCCCAGGAAAGGACTTTCAAGCCATTTTTTACATTATAACATGTTAGAAATGTGAGAATTGGAGCATGCTAAATATGACATTCTCTAAGCTTTTATGCTAAGTCGATTTTCCAACCACTACATCCCACTAGGATTTTCATTTTTAAATTATTATTTTATTATTTCATATTTGGATCATTTGATCATTTTATTTAGAAAAGAATTATAAATAAACAACATTATTTTTAAGATTATTTTAGTTCCTAATATTATATAAAACTATTGTCCCATATAACTTATGGAAAAGATAATACAAAGAAAAAAAAAAGAATTTAGTAAGATCCTACAAGATACATAATGCAAAAATAAATGTAGACTAACTAGTACTGGCATCTTTATGTAACCTTTAAGGAAGGAAAAAAAGAAAAGAACATAGCCGTGGCATTTTGACAAGTAGGGTTTACCATTTTCTCTTTATTTTCCCCCCCTGAAACTAGGGTTTATCAGTTGAGGGGTTTAAGCTTTATCTTGCCTTCTCAGTTGAAGAAAAAAAAAAGAATTTTGGACATTTTAGTTGAATTCGACTTTTCTTCTAGGGAGAGTGGAGAGAGATTGTTAACTATATTTTACTCACTCTGCCTTATGTTTTGGACATGAGTGCAGAGGAGACCAATAAAATGTCTTCTCTTATTTCTACCCTCTCCCAAAGTTTCAAGCAGGTGCCTCCAATGGCTATTCCTACAATGTTGAACTGCATTTAGGCCTCGTTAGGCTCATATCCATCTTTGCCTTATGCTTCACTTCTTGAGGATTTCTCTAATCTAGCAAAAGTATCTTAGATTATATCTCGATTCATCTAATGCACCATTTGAGAATATATATATATACACAAATACATTAATTCATGTTAACTTTGTAAGAATTCAATCTATGTTCCATTTTTTTTATCATCAATTAATTTTTGTGCTACTGTCAAGAGAGATCTTTCAACATTCCTATTCAACCACCTAGAAAGTTTCTAATGGTATAAGGGAATTGTTTATTTTGGAAGGTGAAGTCAGCAATATCCTGTCTATCACCCAAAATGATTTGAATTTGCTGGTTCTCTCTATTTTTCAAAATATTAAATTTTTGTTTATTTACAAGATTTAGCGAGTTTTTTTGGGTGAGAGGGCATATTAAGTGGAGCCAAAAGGGAGGCCCTACCCAGAGTTGTTTTCTTTGTATGGGAGGCTGGCTATGGATGTATGTTGACTATCGATAAGAAGGGAAAATATTATGGTGAACTATTTTTTTCTATGTAAAAAGGAGGCAGGATCCTGTAATCGTGTCCTGCCTTAATATATGTTCACGTATAAGTTATGAACTATGACTTATGGATTATTGGAGATTAGTTGGGTGATAGTTGGGTCGTTAAAGGATGAGATTTGAGACTGGAAAGGTATTAGCAGTGGGAAGAAATAAGTGGTGTGGAAAGAGAAAAATATGAGAGCTTTTATTAGAGTAGTTGAAAATATTGATAGAGTTAGTGATGGATAGTTCTATACCTTGAGTTTTTTGGTTATGGGTTCACACTACCTTGGTATTTGTGAATTAACAAATCAAAACATACTTTTTATATTAAAAGAAATTAGTGGAACCAAAAACACAATGAAAATGATCATAATTTAGCTATCATCTAGGCAGTAGGAAGGAAAATGGTAAAGGATCATCCTTTTCCGTGAAGAAAGGAAAGAAGTTATTGGATGTTATTATTGGTCGTAAGTGCACTTAGTGATTGTTTGTTTTGGCTTTCATTTTTTTAAAATAAAAAGTGTGAACAATATATTATCATGGTACCATAAAACCGGGGTGCTGCCCATATATAAAAATTTTACAATATAGTTAGTGAGTCTATGACATGCTCAAAATCTATATCACTAATCATGTCAATGTCTTAATAACAAAAACTTAAAATAATACATCCATCTTCTCTCAACCTATACAAATTAGTAGCTTTATCCTAAAAAAACTCTAAAATTTCGTTCATTCCAAAAAATCCAAAACAAGGATAATGGAATAATATATTTGAACTTTCTATCTAAATGAATGTCATCCCACGCCCACAACTCCTCCATAATAGACCCAGCCATCACCCAATTAACTCCAATCAACCTATAAATGGTGCTTCATAAACCAAACGCCACCAGACATCACAACAAAACATGCCTGTAACTTTATGCATCAGCCATACATAAATAACATCTGTTGGGAATAA